AGAGAGTAAAATCAGCAAGTCTTGAAGAAGGTGATAGAGTATTAGTCCGAAATGTGAGGTTCAGAGGCAAGCATAAACTGGAGGATAAGTGGGAGACAAACATCTATGTGGTGATTGGTCGTGTGGGTGAGCTTCCTGTGTATATTGTAAGACCAGAAAGAGATCCCTCTGGAGGGACCCGGACTCTGCACCGCGACCTTCTTCTCCCTTGTGGATTTCTTCCTCAGACTGAAGTTGACCCACCAGTTTCCACACCGGCTCATAGGCCGCAGACCCGCAGTCTACAAGAACCAGTGGAAGAATTGGAGGAAAGCCCAGATGAGGAGGATGAGGACTGGAGGGCATCTCGATTTTCAGTTTTACCAACTGTGAAGGTCAGTGTTGAGGGGACATGCCCTACCCAGCCCATAAATAGAGTCTCAGTTCCTGAGATGGAAAAAGAGAATCCTTCATCTGATGAGGATAAGCCGTCTCTACTGTTTGATGCTATGGATCCACTTCCAGCCCTGGAAAAAGTTCCTTCACAAGATCAGATGGACCCAGGAAATTCACCTGAACTTGAACATGTTCCTGAGCTAAGCCCATCTGAAGATTTGGAGAGCCATGGCCCAGTAGAGACATTACCAAATTCGACCATGCCAGCATCACATTCCACAGAATCACCAAAAGATGCTCATCAGGCTAGTGATGGTTTAAAAGCTGAACAGTCAATTCGTCGGTCTAGTCGAGAGCCAAAACCAATTAAGCGCTTTCAGTATGCTGCTTTAGGAAATCCTTTAATTTCTGTAGTGCAAAATCTTTTACACAGTCTAGCTACTGCTTATGGTGAAATGGTTGCTGAACCTGTTTCAGATGCTCCTGTGCGTCATAGTGTTCAGATAATTTAGCATGCACCGGTGTTGCATGGAATTAAGGGGGGAGGATGTAACCCGAGTGTAATTTTAAACCTTCAATTCCTCTGATTTTCTACTCTTTTGCCTTTTAGCCTCAAATCTCGCGATGTTTTAATAGTATTATGATTGATTCTCGCGAGATTATCGTTTAGCCAATCGCGGTTGAGTACTGGGGTCACATGTACCTTTCCAGTTTACCGGCTAGGTATATTAGCTCAAGCGAAAGGGCGTGAAGGGTAGAACGCGTTGGAAGGAGCAGAGCTGGCAGGTCAGTTAAAGCGTAGCATCATTTAATTGCTGTAAATGTGTACGATGCTCACTTAATGTGCTGAACTATAGGATCCCATTATTGTGAGCCGGAAAGTGAGATGAAAAAGATCCGGTAGTATGCCACAAAACTGCGGAACTGGTGAGTGTTTTTGTGAATGACTTAGCGTTGGCTTATAATCACTGCTGTTGTGTAGCCACTAAAGAAAAACTGATTGTAAACTCCTTTTGATAACCAAAACGGGTAATTGAAGTATTTATTGAACACTGGTTTATATTAGTATTTTACATTTCATGTTAATTGATAATATGGTGTATATTTATTGACTGTTTCATGAATGTAATTTATATTGAATTTTAGATTTAATGAAATTGCAATTGATCAAATGATAGAATTATTTATAACACAAAATGTTATTTATTGAATTGTGTATACACTAAATGTTAGATCATATCAATATATATTGAGGAAGTGGTCCTGTTTTGTTATTCAGGCCAGGTGGATGGTGAGCTATGAGACCAGGCCTAGAGCCAAAGAAAGATTTCACCTGTTGGTGACAGAGGACTGCTTGCTTCTCCTACCCAGCTGGTAGGAGAATCCTACGGAGAACTCTGTTCCTTCTTTGATTGGACTTTCAATTACCCAGGACGTGAACCACGCCCTGGATACTCGCCTTGTTTGTGAGCCGGATTAATCCCCATTCGGGGTGGATGGACTAAGGGGTTGTAAGATGAACTTTGGGAACGATTGATTAATTTGTTTTTTTCCCCTTTGTTGTGTTTCTTCTTTTTTCCTCTGCTTTCTTTTCATTTCATTGTTTTGTTTTTTTTTTTCCTTGATGGCCATTTGCATATCCCAATGTTGTGGTTGTAAATATGTAAATATGATATTCACATTGCAAATACAAAACACTCGCAGCTGCAAAACTCTAGCCTAACTGCTCTTTCGTGTGTCGTACCTATTCTTCTGAAAGGAAACTGGCCTATTATCTTGGTTAAAAGCCATTTATATTGAATAACAATTTAGATTGTCTTTTCAAATATGCTACACATCCGTTCAGTGGTCAGAATGGAATATGACCACTAGAAACATCCACATCGAACACGCGTTGAACTCGGGTGAACGCAAGATAGGACCATATTTTGTAGATGGATTTGCTGTAATTTCAGGTACACCGACCGTGTTTTCGTTCGAGGGTGTTTTTACCACGGCTGTCAGCGATGTTTTACCCCCACGGAGACATGTCCGCTCAGAAAGGTTCCGTTAGAACAGATTTATGCGGCTACAGTTGAAAGGACTAGAATTCTGCAATCTGTTTACAAGGTTACAATCGAAACAATGTGGGAGCATGACTGGGATGACATGAAAAAATCTCACGCAGGGGTGATTAGATTCTTGGAGAAATTTGCTGCGCCTGAACCACTAGCACCACGAAAGGCTCTGTATGGAGGCAGAACTTGTGCTCTGAAATTGCGTTACACAGCAGGCCCGGGTGAGTCTGTGTGTTACGTGGATTTTACGTCATTGTACCCTTTTGTGAACTCTACTTGTGCATATCCATTAGGCCATCCTATGATCATCTACAAAGATTTTAATAACCCGTGTGAATATTTTGGTTTCATCAGGGCAAAAGTGTACACACCCCGAGGATTATATTTTCCAGTCCTGCCCTACAAGACATCTAAAAGCAAACTAGTTTTCACTCTTTGCCGCACTTGTGCAGAGACTAACAATCAAACAGAATCGTGCGTGCATGACGACGAGGAGCGTGCTCTTACAGGTGTCTGGGTGACTGAGGAATTTAAAAAAGCCTTGCAGTGTGGGTATCGTGTTGCTAAAATCACAGAGGTTTGGGATTTTCAGAGAAGCAGCAACACCATCTTTAAACCCTACATTCACACTTTTTTGAAAGGCAAGCAAGAGGCCTCCGGTTATCCGTCTGACGTGACGGATGAGGAGAGCAAACTGAAATATGTGAGAGATTATGAGGTTAATCAGGGGATCCGGCTGGATCCAGAAAAAATTCAGCTGAACCCTGCCAGACGTCAGACTTCGAAGCTCTGCCTCAACTCTTTTTGGGGAAAGTTTGCACAACAAAATGACCTAACTCAAACCAGCATTGTGACAGAGCCTGATGAGTTTTTTAAGTTCTTATTTTCAGGTAAATATAAAGTGAAGTATTTTATATTCATCAGCCCTGAAACCTGTTTGATCGAATGGATTTACAGCAAAAACTGTGTGACTCCTCCCTCCAAAGTGAATAATGTATTTGTTGCAGCATTCACAACAGCCTATGCTCGTTTAAAACTTTACAGCTGTCTGGAACGAGTGCAGGAAAATGTACTTTACATCGACACCGATAGTCTGATTTATAGGGTTAGAGATGGTGAGAGTCGTTTAGAACGGGGGGATTATCTCAGTAATTTAACTGATGAACTGAATGGCGATACTATTCAGGAATTTGCTTCGGCTGGGGCTAAAACGTACGCTTACCAGACTAAAAATCTTAACAGAGTAGTAATTCGTGTGAAAGCACACTCAAACTCATGAGTTTGAGTGATGGGTCAATTTTGACAGCATCAAGGAGTTGGTAGAAGGATACTTACAAAAAACAGGGGAGGGGTTGATTCAGGTGCCGCAAAGCACTATTAAACGTGATAAAAAGGGCTTCTTGTTAAAAAACGCCACATTTCTGAAAAAGTTCCAGGTCGTGTATGACAAAAGAAGGCTTTTTTCTGATGGTTCAACTCTACCTTTTGGTTATTAGAGTTTTAAGAGAAAAGAGAAACAGACAAAAAAAATGATGTTCAATTCAGATGATGACGTAAAAGAGGTCAACTTTGACCCCAGATTTAAAGCCCCTTTCTCATGTATGGTTGTAGGAGCGAGCGGGTGTGGTAAATCGTACATTGTAGGAAAAATGTTGCAAAATCTTGAATATGTTATGAATATTGTACCTGATAATATCATATGGATTTTTACTTCATTCCAACCTCTGTATGCTGAATTACAAAAAGTTAATAAAAATATAAAATTTGTGAAAGGACTCCCTGATTCTTTCGAGGATGAAGAATTGTTCCCGTTGAATAAAAGCCATTTGGTTATTCTGGATGACGTCATATTCCAAGCCTCTAATCATCCTGAGGTTGCTAAATTATTTACTCAATACCGACATCACAGAAATATGTCTGTTTTATATCTCACTCAGAATGTATTTCAGCAGGGAAAATACAGTCGCACCATCAGTCTAAATAGTAATTATCTGATCCTCTTTAAGAATCCTAGAGATAAATTACAGGTGGAGATTTTAGCGCGCCAGATTTTCCCTTCAGCAAAAGCGAGTTTCCTGGAGAGTTTTGAAGATGCGACAAAAGAACCTCATGGTTATTTAATTGTGGATCTGACTCCCTCCTGTCCAGAACGATACAGATTGAGAACGGGGATACTGCCTGAAGAGCAATTGGCTGTATATTTACCAAAGTAATAAATAAATAAAACAGGATGTCAGCGCGTATAAGACGTAATATCCCTCTTCTTAGAGCTCTTTATCATTCTACACCTCAGAAGCGGAAAGATATTTTAATGCACATATGTCAAAGTCAAGGCCCGCGGGCCACATCAGGCCCGCGAGAGGGTTTTACCTGGCCCCCGTGATGATATTAATCTATTATTAGATCCGGCCCGCAGATATAATGTACGCACGAATACTACATTTCCCACAATGCAACGGGGACGCGCCGAGCGGGAGCATAGCGGGAGGCGGCTTAATTTATTCAGCAGTCATTCAGCATCAGTCATTAGCATACCAGCAAAAGTTATCTTACAGATACCCATCAACAATGGCAAAACGGAAGGTGGACAGTGAAAACCGGGGGTTTCAAACAAGGTAGGAGTTTGAGTACATGTTCACGGAGGTAGCTGGAAAACCTGTGTGTCTTCTATGTGGAGAAAGTGTGGCGGTGATGAAAGAGTTTAATATGAGACGGCATCATGAAACAAAACACAAAGACAAAAACAAGATTCTGGACATGGAACAAAGGCTATAGAAGGTCGAGGAATTAAAACGAGGCCTCAAATCTCGACAGGGTCTGTTCAGAAAAGCCCAGTCACAAAGCGAGGCTGTTGTCAAGGCCAGTTTTATTTTAGCAGAGGAGATCGCTAAATCAGCCCGGCCATTTACAGAGGGGGATTTCATCAAAAACTGTTTGCTTAAAGTCTGTGACGAACTTTGCCCAGACAAAAGACAGCTCTTTTCAAACATCAGCCTGAGCAGAAATACTATTGCTCATCGCGTAGACCTGTTGTCTGACAATCTAAAAGAGCAGCTTGTTACAAAGGGAAAAGATTTCATCGCATATTCCCTGGCTGTGGACGAGAGCACAGACATTTCTGACATTGCCCAGCTGTCAGTTTTCATCCGCGGAGTGGACTCCAGCCTAAACGTGACTGAGGAGTTGTTAGCGCTACGTCCTATGCATGGCACAACTACGGGACATGATTTGTATGAGGAGGTCTCAAGATGTGTAAACGAGATGGAGCTGCCTTGGGAAAAACTCGTGGGTCTGACAACAGACGGAGCACCTGCGATGTGTGGACATAGGAGTGGACTGGTGGCAAAGATACGGGAGAAGATGCAGAAGGAAAACGTCACACGTGAGCTAACAGCTTATCACTGTATCATACACCAAGAGTCGTTGTGTGGTAAAGCCTTGAAAATGAAAGATGTAATGAGCACCATCACATGCGCAGTTAACTTTATTAGAGCCAAAGGGTTAAATCACCGCCAGTTTAAGTCATTTCTGAGCGAGTTAGAAACGGAGCATGGTGATTTGCCCTATCACACTGAGGTGCGGTGGCTAAGCCAGGGAAAGGTGCTGCGCAGGTGTTTCGAGCTTCGTGGGGAGATTTGTTTGTTCTTGGACAGCAAAGGGAAAGACACAACACAACTCCGAGACAAAAGGTTTCTGTGTGAAATGGCTTTTCTGTGTGACATTACGAGTCACCTGAACGCAATGAACCTGCAACTGCAGGGTCGGCTCGTGTCATCTCTGAAATGTACAGTACAGTGAAGGCGTTTCAAACCAAACTGACTCTGTGGGAGGCACACATGCGGAAAGAAAACTTGAGCCACTTTCCAAGCTGTCAGACCATGAAAGATGAGCTATCTACCAGTATTTTCCCGAGCACAGAATTTGCTGATAAAATTAGTATACTCGCTGCTGACTTTCGACACCGATTTGCTGACTTTGAAGCACAAAAAAACAGGTTTGCACTGCTCAGCAATCCATTTGCCGTTGATGTGGAAAGCTCACCGCCAAACCTCCAAATGGAGTTGATTGAGCTACAATGCGATGATGCGCTGAAGGCAAAATACGAAGCAGTGGGTGCTGCGGAGTTTGCGCGCTTCCTTCCCGACACAATGCCCCAGCTGCGCACCCAGGCTGCTCAAACGTTGTCTGTTTGGCAGTACATACCTGTGTGAACAACTGTTTTCATTAATGAAGCTGAACAAAACATCAGACAGAAGTCGACTTACTGCTGAACACCTTTACTCAGTTCTGAGGATTTCCTCAGCTCAGAGCCTGACCCCGAACTTTGATGAACTTGTGCAAAAGATGAAACACCACCAAGTATCAGCCTCAGCCTCAAAAACGTAATGTAGTGTTTCAGTAATACAGTAATGTATACAAATGTATGTAAATACAGTAATAATACAGTAATGTTTACTGTGCAATTACATATTTGAAGTTAATACTCTGTTCAAGTTTAAAAGTTAAATATGCACACAAAGAAGGTCTTGTTTTGGTTGTTCCCCTCAGGGATTTTAAAGCTTTCTTGTCTGTGTTGACTATGTTGTTTTTGTTTGCCGACTCCGTTCCTGGGAGTGTTTCTTGTTTTTCGGCCTTTCATGGAAAATAGATCGTGAAGTGGACAATAGTCTTTTGATAAAATTGTCTCCTATTTAACAGAGAAAATGACTTTTGATTGTTATTATTTGTTAATCAGTAATTCCTTTTTTCACACTAACCCAGAGAAAGCACAGAAAGGAAAGTCAATGTACATTTGAGCAGGACAGATGCAGTCCAGTGTGTTAATTGCTATTGGTTTTAAGTAACAAGAGATTTTTGCACTTTATTTTATTGTATTTCGAGGCAATATTTCTTTTTAATTATTTCAGTTGAGTGAATGATAGAAAATTGTTTATTATTTATTTCTTTGAAGTTGCCTAAATTCAGCCCATTTTTGCTAAATTAAAGAATATACTGATGGTGCCTTAAATAATATCACTTCATACATTTAATGTTCATGTTATGAGTTTTTTATATAAAGGACATTTGTATTTTGTGCCTGCTGAAATTAAAAATGACTGACAGAGTCATAAGAAAATATTGCTTTATTTATCCAATCATATTGTAATATATTTGTTATGCTTTCAGTAGGTTAAATCTTGGTTTCAATGAAGATTGGACAGTTCGGCCCTCGGCTTGTAGCCAAATGTTTTATTTGGCCCTCCGTCCATTTGACTTTGACACCCCTGTTTTAATGCATTGCTCACCCGATTTCCTTAAGACTTTATGCGAGATTGCTCTGAACATTCTAAAAGGAAATATTAAACTAACACCTTCCCAGCATCAGAAATTGAAAAAGCAGCGGAAAATCATCAGACTTTTAGCTGATAAACGAGCCACACTTAAACGCAAGCATTCGATTATTAAATCTCAAGGAGGAGGCTTTATTCTACCGATTCAAGCTGCTCTCGGCCCTATAATTGGAAATTTGCTCGGCGGGGTCCTTCACAGATAAAAAAAGAAAAAGAAAAAAAAAGTAATGGCTCTTAGAACATCTCAAAAGATGTTTCTGGTTTCACCTCAGCAATTTAAGCAGTTTAAGCGTTTGAATCCTTCAGAGACCCCGATCAGAGAAGCCGCGGAGCTGGACTTGGATTCTCAAATGAGGGCGATTCTGGACGAAGCGGAGTTGACCGCTTATGAAAAAATTAAGAAATATGATGCTTTGCTGCGAAGATACCAATCCTTAATCAAGCAAGGTCAGATAGAAGATGAACCCTCGTTATCTGTGACTCTGCAGCGTGCCGGGGACAATCCTGTGTCTAGACTACCAGCACCAGCAGCAGCGACAGCGGGTAGACACGAAGATGTTTCCATTCAGAAACATTTGGATGAAACTGCGGATGACGTTGTGAAAGCACTTCCTGAAAGAGACCGTAAAAATGCCGAATACGTTTTGAAAAAGTTAACAGCCGCGACTAACGGCGGTTGGACATCCAGTGCGGAATTTATTTATAAAGGACAAATCAACAAGGGCTCGCATATGGTTGATTTACTCAAAAATCTTCTAACGCCTTTCAAAAGGAAGTATCAAAAACTCGCGCCTGCAGGATGGAGTAATTTCCTTTCCACTCTACATGAAATCAATTTTCCGGTATCTACTGTTATTAATCCGTGTGACGGAGGAGCCGTCACGATCGGAGAGTCCCTGTTAGCAAACATGCACAATTCTAAACTTACCTGTTTCTTTTCCTTTTAGTTTGGATTGAGGCGATTCATTGTGGGTGCACACGCGGTGTTTTCGTTTGACGTTCATTCTAATCGGTTATTTTCAGGTACATGTTTTTCCGGTTTTCTTTGGGGGAAGTTGTTTCCAGCTTGGAGCGCACCGGGAGCCAATTACGTGATGTGTAGTCATCACAATGTGCTGGTTGTTCTTGTTCTTTTGTTTGGGTGTATTTTGATTATAAATTTATTTATTTTTCCTTCCTTATTGTTCCTTATTGTTATTTCAAGAATTTGAGTTAGAAATAATTGCATAGTTTTTGTTTTGTTTAGTTTTGTTTTGTTTGATGGGACTTCCTCTGGGCGGAGCCTGTAGCTATAAAAGCAGGGCTCTGTTTCATAGAGGGCAGTCTGCACCTAGGCGTGAGAAGTGTCACATTGGAGGTGATGAGCTGCGACTTGAAGGTACTGCTGTGCTGTGTTGATTTTTAACTCATGTTGGACATTTTTGTAAATATTATGCATTTGCCACTGTTGATTCACTGCACTGATAAAAAAATAAATCTCACTAAAGTAATCCCTGGCCTTGGCCCGTCATTTTTTTGTGGTGGCCCAAGTCATAAAAGAACCCCATCACAATCCGGATGCTCGTGATGAATATTTGCGCCTTAAAACGGGCGGTGTGAAAATCCTTCAAGAAGAGAGAAAAAGAAGATTTTTCTGTCCCCGAAATTTGATTTAGAAGATGATGATGATGAGATTGTTGACATAAAAAATAGGCGTGAAAAAAAGAAATTCATCTTATCCCCCAAATTTGACAATGAGATGAATATAAGAAAAAGTAGTCGTACAAAAAAAAAAAATCCATCGCATTGGATTGCTTTTTCCCCATAAAAATCATGACGATGAATGTTTTTTTGTTATATATTTGAATAAAATATTTTATTTAAAAAAATATTTCAAGTTTACAGTCTCTTGTTTTCAAAAAAATAAATAAAAACACAATGATAACAATCAGATTACATCAACAATTTATGACATTCTTTAAACATTTGCATGGAACATGTTCCGTGGTTAAAAGAACAATACTTCTGGTTTTTAATACAACGTTGGTGTTTCTTGACAAAATCTGAAACCATGACATCATTTTTAACCGCATCAGCTGTGTATGAATTTAGCACTTGCTGCATTGATAACCCGCAGGCTCTTTTGCAGAGGTAGAAAGCGCAGTGATGACCGCATACGACTGACAGGGTGTCTTGAAGCTGGTTATTATGATATATTATTTTTGAAGATCTGTCTTTTAAAAACTTTACGATGCTTGCTGGATATAATTCAAAATCCGGTCTGAGTCCGTACGAGTCGAAAAACGTCGCAATCCCGTTCCTCTCCACAGTCAGGGCCAGCCAGTGTTCTCCCGGCATGTGTGCGGGATGTGTGTTCACAATAAAATACGCGGGTTCTGCGTACTCGCGCGCTAGCGATGACAGTTCATCGCACGCCCAGACTCCGCAAAATACTTTGCCCAGCAGATGATGTAACAGACTCTCCAGCTGATGATTGTTCATAATTATTTAATTAATAATAATCCACCAAGACCTGCCTTTTTGAATTGATTTCCAGAATGGAATCATAACAGGTATAAACAATTAACGTCGTTGTATGAGGCAGAGGCACTCTGAAACGAACCTCTAACCTCAAATTTCCTGTAGAAACAATCGAAAGAGCATCCAGGTTCCCGCTTGGGTTGAGATTAAAGACAAAAAGTGAATACCCGTTGTTAAATTCCTCACGATCTATGCTCAGCGGGAGATCTTTTAACTGACGGCCTGTTGCTGAAATATGTTTGTAAAATTCTCTGACCGATGTCCCGTGATTAAACTGCGGTTGAAAAGCCTTCCCTGGAATTTGACGCCCCTCTTGGCATAAAGCCACGTATTCAATGTCCATGTGTTTAAAATTAAAAGGTGACAGGTCTCTTTGCCCAGTAAAAGCTTCGTGGTTGACAAATGCTAGAACTATATATTTCGGTATGGTTCCTAGAAAGAGATTCTCCTGTGTACAAATTCTTGAGTTTTGTGGAATAGAGTAAGTTTTAACGTTCACTCTGGAGAGCGGGTACAGAGCGTTTCCCCGCAATAAAGCAGATTCATGGCCTAATCGAACCGCCGGTGAAACAGACACTTTTTAACAAAAAGTGAAGCGCCCAATATTTTCAGTCTGAAGGTGGAGTCACGTGCTCCCATCAGACAAAAAGCATCGCTGGCACGTGTTAATTTAATTCTCAAATCCACAGAATTAAGCAGAGCCCTTTCACAGAAAAATATATCAGCGTGAATTGGGCCTAGAAGATGAAGTTCTTTAGATTCAGAGGTGAATGAAGCCCTTTTATTTAAACCAGCGTTTGGTCCATTAGTAGTCACGATAGAATCAATAGCACCCGCTGTGTCTTTATAAAACAGACCGGCTGTAAATTGTGATTTCAGGGTATCTTCCGAGAAGTTTAACAGAGTTTCGATTATTGCTCTGTATGGGTGAGTGGAGCTGGACTGAGATATCACATTGGACTGAGATTTCGCATTGCGAAAATATTGTGTTAAGAGGATAATTAATTAACCCCACAGCCTCGTCGTTAGCCAATTGACTACCATCCGAGTTGGTGATCTTGATGTGTAGATGAAGCAGGGTATCATTTAGGTCCAGGTACTTGGACCCTCCTGGTATTAGAAACTCTATCGGTGAAGTGTCAGTCGGAGCCGACAGCGGTAAAATTTCTGTGTACGTTTTATCCTCTATAGATAGCTGCGTCATAGGAGCAGAAAATAAATCTAATTCCGTCAGAGTGCATTCAGGCGATTTGTGATGTAAAAGAGCCATTATATATTATTTATAAATATATATATATATATTTTTTCTCTTAATGAAATATATCCTTGTTACGAGCGGGCTTCCTCCCCTTTGCCTTCCTCTTCCCGTTTGATTTCTTTCGCTTTAGTGTTCTGCGTATTTGAACATGTTTGACGCGTTCTCCAGGCGGATGCGTTCTTCCTCTTCTGGACAGAACCATGATCCCTGACCCTTCTTGACCTTCTTTAGAGCCAGATATTTTCATGGCTCTACCAATGACATCTGTAGCGATGTTA